AAACGCATAGGTAGGCTGCAGCTGCAGACAAAAATTTGGCACATTCATTTGAATTTCCAATTAAAACATGGTAGCTCCATTGTTACTGATTCAAATGTGTTTTTTATCAGTATATAGTTTCAAGTTGATGTTGTTTAATCAGGTTGGTGAGAACTCAAGAGACCAGACTAGTCTCAATTGCACGACTGACCTGGGGCACTAATCCGCAATCAGGGGTTATGATTGCAATGTATCATCCAAATTGAGTCCTTTCGAGTTTTTAAAAGTTAACCTTTCATCAAACATAGTAAATGGCTAATTGTTTAAATGGACACGAGACGTCTTTGATTTCTGCAGAAGTCACAATTCTTCTGTGGGTAATTCCCGATCCATTCATAATCAACGTTTTTGGGTTTAGATCGCGTTATTTATAAATGTGTCATAACCCTCCACCACCCGACACGGCCAATCAGTAAAAAGTGTCACGTTGACAAAAGACAAATAGTTCACTGCTTTAGCCCACCGGTGTGTTGAAGCCACAACATTTACAATTATAAATAACGCGATCTAAACCGAAAAACGTTGATTATGAATAACATTGGTCGCGAAAGCCTACGTGTTATCCCGATCCATTGTTGGGATGGAATTCCCACACTGCCAAGGTTGTCTCATCCATGCAAGGAGCATATACACAAGTCAGCCTCTTCGGCCGTCCATGCCCCACAAGCCCCCCCCACCCCCTCCTGCCCGTCTTGAATGCCACGCACCAATCGGGAATGAAATTACGAACACTGCTGGGCATCGGCCGTAAAGGTTAACGGCGATTCTGGTCGATACCGGCTGGCCGGTCCCAGGGTTAATTTCAAATGACCGTTATTGACAGAATTGCCATACAAATGGATTACATAGGCATGGGTCGTACATTTCACTGGCGATTCCAATGAGCTGGTCAGGCCCCAACGGGCCCTTCTCTCTCCTGCCTGAACATCACGCTGGGTTCCATGCAGCCCAGTTCGACACAATACCATGATTGTAACAATCAACCAATTCGATTAAAAGTGTACAATTGTGATTGCAGGCAAGGCAACATGCATCTTGTTGATTGGTTTCTGATTTACATTACTGTACGTATTTTAAGCCAATTCTGTGGACATTTACCGACCAAATGAAGCCAAATAAATCGTGTAATGTTGTGTTTGATGATATGACGGATAGTAATCCTTAAATTAATGCTGGTAAATATATGCAATCTGTAATAAAATTCACAAAGAATGTATTGCCAAAATGTTTTACAAGCATAAACGACTCTTAAAATATAAATAGTTTACCTATAAATGCATTCTCTAAAGAATCCAGAGTCAATTGGCATTCATTATGTTTTTTCTAACTGATGCCTGAACACTCGAGTTATATAGGGCCCAATAAAATATATTTTATAATAATATAATAATGCATGTTATCATCTAAACACTCACACTATATACGGCACCCGATATAAATATTTATTCAAATGCCCCAAGGGTCGGCAGCCAAAATAACAAGAAGAGCAACTTTTTGTTCCAGTTCGGTAAAAAAAAACCTCAATATTTCATGAGCCGCAATGCACTGCGTGCGTGGTGAATCCGAGACGGTGGCAGTGACCCTTAATAAGGTGACGTCACAAAGCAGTCCGCGTGATGCTCCGGAGACGCGGGCTGCCGACCCCCCTGGTACGGCCCAAGCTCAGGTCGATGATTTGAGTGTTAAACTGGCCTGAAGGGAATATTTGAATCTGATAATAATCAGGTCCTACTCAAAGGGCTACCCGGGGGGGTGGGGGGTTTGACCTGAGAAACCAGATATTGGTCGGGGCGGAAGATACAATGAGTTAACAGAGAAGCAGACGGGAAAATTCAATGAGCGAGCAGACTTCAATGCATGCACACACGGTCCTGTTATATAGCCTTATAGCTGTGAATGTATCACAAATCATTCATGCATAAATGTGTTTGATCCCTAAAACACCCAATGAACATTTTTATTTCATATTATTTATTTACTTGCAGCAGTAGCTTCTCATATGGTTTAATTTAAATTAACGGTGGTGCTGGTTAGGATTATTACAGCGTGACAATCATGGCACAGGTTGTCATTCGGAACAGCTCTGCTTTTGTTCACCGTAGAATAGGGAAATAAATAATTACTTTATGACTGTATATGCGGTCTGCCAATAGGGGGTCCAATTATTTCTGTGTTTCCTAAATACCGTGGCGTACATTATACCGTGAATATGAAACTGATTAAACGATACAATAATAAATATATATAAATGCATACATTTGACGAGGCAACGTCAGTAGGCTTGCAGACTGCTGTCAAATGTAATGCGGTGAGACTATGTAGTGTGCCGTGCTAACTTCTCTCCGTCCACACAACAATGGCAGTCATTCATACGAGCTATTTTCATGTATCTTCCCCCCCCTCCGCCCCTTTTAAAATGCATTCCGGTACAAGCAAATTCGTGTAACCGTTTAATGATTTTTTTAGAGAACAAAATGTAAAAACATTTACGAATGCTAAATTAAAAAAAAACACGTTTAAAACATTAACAATTGATTATACTATGTTAGGGGCGCAGGTCTGCAATTGATCCTCACGCCACTGACGGCGGAAGGCCCCTCCACTCGATGGAGCTGTGCAGAGCCCTTCTATAGGGGTGTATTTGGCCTACTCGTTCACGCTGGCCTGACGACTTCGAGCAGGCTGGGGCATCGACAATTTGTCCGATCACATTGTATCTTGCCCATCGGCTAATTGTGGTGTACTCATTTATAGTGGGGGCACCACGGTGGCTATGATATGTGAACTACCTCGCCTCGTATACAGGAGGTCGTGGGTTCGATCCCGACCCTGACGCCTGTTGCTGTATATTTGGAGTTTGCGTGTCTCTCTTCACGTGGTCGCGTGGACCTTTCCCTCCACATTTAGAATAAACATCACGCGTTTAGAGTATTTGGCTGCTATACATTTCCACGTGATAAGCCACTTCGTTGAGCTATCATTTGTGATGGCAAAGTCGCTTATGAAAAAAGGCTACATAGCTCAGTGGGACCACCTTACCTGGTAAAATGATTTATTTAAAAAAAAACTATGCTGGGTGAACAGACGGGCAGGGTGGTGAGTTAAAAAAAAAAACTTACTCCATTATTGCAGCTGCCACGCCCCGGGATTGAAATTCCAGTGTGCCAATCATCACACCAGAGTGGGTAGCATCGCTGATACCCATATTATAACGCGTTACATGTTTAACTGTCTCGCACGCATCTCGAAAGGGTGAGTGTGTTTCGTGTGTTTGATACGCACAGAGCCGGTAATATTATCACAAACATCAGAGACCACGAAAGCCGACAAAAAAAATTGTCATCGATGCAATGACATGATGTTTGTCAATTACAATCATCAATTACAGTGGCTTGCGAGTGCACGCATTTCGACGACTGAGCAATGATTAATTTGACCACATAGCTTCATCCTACATTAATTGGCACTGTACACGATGACAGTATATTTGAACAAATGAGCTTGCTTATGCATGTAATTGGTTTTATGCGCAACATCGTACATTTCTATAAAAGCACTTTTCACGTTTGATGTTTGCAGCCATCGGGGTACACGGAACCTTACAAAGATCGATTTGGTTATACGTCTTCATGACTATTGTGGGCGACATCCCTTTGTACTCCCTTACAATGAAAAAACATTCTTACCAGTGCATTACGAGCTCATTTAAATAGCTAACTCTAGACTGCGGTGAATATAACATTATATTGTGCAAGAGAAATGTGGAATTAATGTCCAATTCAGCAAAGCTTGTAATGGACTCTAAGATACATAAAAGAAAAGCGCAGTAAGATTCGTGGTTACATTTTAAGGTCTGTATATAATGATGCTTTCACATAAAAAAAAACCGGGACTTAGAAATAAACCCTGACCTTGTATGTATGTATGTTGCACTTGTTTCCTACCGTACATAGCCAACCGTACTAATCGGAGGTGCGGACCTGAGGCTATCATGTCACAATACCCTATACTCACTCATAAGAGATGGGTATATTTAGAGGCACACCATAGCACTGTACATTATTTGCGATATGTGGGTTAGGTCCAGGCAGCAGCCACTAACAGTCATGCATATATTCATACGAGTTCAAATATCAGGGAATTTTTTTTTATTGGACAAGTGCTGGCCCAATGCATTTCATTTGTTTCTCATGGAAGACCTTGAAAACGAGGAATGGCTGCAATTTGATATCACCTACATGATGTGGTATCTGCAATGCCATGTGGGACATCTCCCAAATTTGAGATCTGGACTCCTCTGACAGTTGATGCAGGTTACGTGAAAGTTGGCAGCGCTTTGATAATTTTACCATAGAAATTACTGGATGATTGCTGCGTTCGAATCAATCAGCTGTGTGACAGCCACTTCTAAAATTGGTAAATAAAGGAAAAGATGCATCCTTGCGATTGCATTGCTCATGTCTCCAGTCGAAATATCTCAAGAGGGTACTTGATAAAAAAAATGGCCAACGTTGGCTGTTGGTTTGCAGCACCAATGTTGGATGTTCCAAACCAAAATACGACTTTGATTTCATTATATTTTTGTTGGAAAAGTAAACAATGACCAAAAGCAGCCCAGCCTATTTTTTTGCAGCAACGTTTCACTTTACTATCCTCCTGTGTTGCCACAATGAGCTTAGCCGTTCGCCAACACAGGCTAATGTCAGCATTTTAAACAGGTAACTGTCAATACCAATACTTTATTTCAAATTCCCAATGCATTACACATTTATACATTCACTGTCTCATACAGTCCCTTCATTAATAATATATATGACAAACATGGCAGCCTTTGTCGGTGTGGTGTCGAGAAGTATATTAACATCTGGCTTAACTTCCACTGCAGCATTTATTATATTAAATCGCTTCGTACAGCATTGCTTTTGGCTCGAGTTTGCGTGAAGACAATGCGTGTACATTACCTCCAGAGTCGCAAACAGTTCAGGTGAAATGAGAGTGGTGGAGGCTGCTCTACAGCTTTGTGGAGAGCAAAGCAGCGGGCTTGGTTCTGCTGGCAGGGGATCGTGACTTGCGTCTGCACGACAAGTGAAACACACTGCATCATAGTCTGGAAAAAAAAATGTTTTGTCTGCTTACAAAAAATGACCTAATCATTGCTCTCAAATGGTCATGTTGTATGTACATCATTTTCTCACCTCCTCACAAAAAATGCATATACTGTATATACAAGAATGGAGACCAGCATGTGAAATGGAATGGACAAATATTCAAGGACGATTATAATTATTCAAAAGGCTTGAGGAATAGAATTCATAAAATGCAGGTGACATGGGTTTTTTTTTATACATTATTATTTAGGTTGATATTGAAATAAAAAAAAAGTTGATGCCAACCTCGGGTTTTAATTTTTATATCTTGCTTACGTCAAAAAAATCATGACATTGGAATCACTAGGACTGCCCGTGCATGCGTAAGGGCTACACAGCCGCAATGCAAGCTGGGTGGGTGGGAGGGGGCATGACGTCACAAACCCGGCTCAACGTCATAACGCAGATATGCGTGGTGACATTACCACGGCGCACTCCCCGCGTGTCAGCCAGCAAAACTTTTTTTTTCAATTTACTACGATTGCTTAATAGAATAATAGTGATCAAGTACGTGTTAAATGTTAAGCCCATGGGTAAAAACAAGGAAGCAAGATAGTAAAATAGAGGGGCCTTCGTGTTGTCTGGGAGGAATGCAGCAAACCTGCCACTGAAGCTTCTGAAATTAATATATATTCTTAAGAATGGCATTTTGGACTCTTAGATACCTAATTTTTCAAGATATTGTATTTGTCATAGAACTTTACTGTTGTTGGATAAAAACTGTAGGTTTCCAACTGGTCTTGCGGTATTAACAGTGTACCAGGACCTGCATATTCGGCTAAAAAGCACATAAATACAAACCTCGTGCGTTTTCCTAACATAACATATTGTTTTAAACGTGTAATATATGCAATGTAAATACACCAAAAATAGCAACAGAAAGTCGGAAGTAAATGAGGGAACGTATCATTAAAAATTTAACGAAAGAACAGAAATTGTACGGAAAAACCCCACAAGGATTGGTTCATAAATCTAAGAGTTTAATAACATGTAACGGAATCTACAATGAAAATGGATCACAAATAACAACAATATTCAAAGATTAAACTTCGTCAAGAAAAAAATCACGTGTTAAAATAAATAGGCGCGAAGATATTTCTTCGTGGAATTATAAAAACTAAAATATCTAAATGCAATTCATTACTTAAATTCGAACACTGCACCGTGCTGTACAATTTAAAAAATATATCGAATAAGGTGAACAAAAATAAAGAAGAAAAAAATATATATAAGCTTAACCTTGCCTAATCTAAGTCTAGACAAGAAGTGCTTGGAATTCCAATGCTCGCTGCTCGTCGTGAGCCCAGAGGTAGCCACGTGACTCGGTCGGTACTTGGGGTAAAAAAAACCCGCCAACATTAAAATGTAATTAAATGGAGGGACCCGTGTCACGACGAGACGTGCTCCTGCCAAACGGAGCCCACGTGCTTCCCAGCAGTTTTGCAAGGCCTCATAGGAGGAGAGGCTATTCCATTCATTGTAAATCTATAATTGAACGTGAGTTGATTTATTTACACTACTTACTTTTTCCGTACACGGTGAAAACATTTTACACGGTGTAAATATTCTAGAATACACGGGTGTGTTCGTTTTGTCCATTTACAAAGTCACATCTTGTTTGCGGAGCTGTGCTATCTGATTATTTCAGTAATCGATTACTCTCCCGATTATCGGTTTGATCGCTCGGACAATTTTGATCGGGAAACAAAATCTCTGTTCTCAGGTGTGCCCGCTAGACGGGAGGTGATGGGCGGTGCTTGGTAAACCTCATCGACATCAGCTGCGTCACATTTGGACCTGACGTCGTATGGGGGGTTTCCAGCCTTCGCGAGGCCGCGTGTGGTGGAGGCAACCGCCGTTTTTTTTAAATCGACCACAAATTTGAGTCCGTCCATCAACCCAATCGACGTAATCGTCCCAGCTCTTAATTGTTTTGCAAGCACGTTTGTGCTGCTGTCCACTGCCGTCCGTCATGATTTCAGCTGGTACCGCAAATGTGCGTTGCGTTAATGCCCGTTTAATTAGTAAACTAAAAGTAGAAATCAACAATCACTATTTCGGCCTTTAATCGAACACGACCTCTGATACACTGCACATCCACAATTTTTGTCTTTCTGGTGCTAGCGGTTGACAGCTCCACCTTGGTCACATCAATAATCTTACCCCAAAGTCCACTTGTAAAAAAAAATTCTCCCTGCACCGAACGGTTGAGCTATATGTCTTGTGACCCCCAATTAATTGACCCAGAAATCCCCTCCCCCCTTGCATATTCACATCTGTTTTAAATAAACCACCTTACTTACAAAAAAAAACAGACAATTAATTGGAGGGTCAGAAGACATCCAGACGGGCCTCTTGCACCATGAGACCGGCGTGTGTGCTTACGAACACGCACAGCCCTCTCGCAATCCGTCGTCCCGCATGGCTTATGAGCACAATACGCACGTGGCACAAGCACCGCGCGTGGCACAAGCACGCACGCGCGTGCGTGTTGTGTGCTGCACGCAAGCAGCGTGGTGTGGGTGGCGGCGAAGGGAGTGGGTGAGTGGTGTGGGGGGGCTGCGACCGGGGCTTGCCTCCCTCGCCTCTTGGCCCAGCTCTTTCGCATGAAACTCCCCACAGCCGACGCGACATCAAGGGCTGCCGTTACGGGAACGCACGGTGGATTCGCGCGATCGGTGAATCTGCTAAGGCCCCTTCTTTATGGGCTTTCCTTTTTATTTCATTTTTGTTACATATTTCATTCAGTTTATTTCAAACATATATTTCACTCCCTCCCTCCCCGCTACCCCCCAAGGAATATTTTCTCCCACAGCACCGCCAACTAAGGCAGTCGCCTACACCGACTGCCCCCTCCCCCCCGGAGGGAGTGGTGCTGCTGTGCCAAGAAGCACAGCGTGTGCGCCGCTCACGCGTTCCGCATCTCCGCCCTCAGATTGGTGCCCCCCGCACGTCTCGCGCACGCACGCGGCAGACCGCGCCGCGTGCACCCGGCGTGGTTGCTGCACAGCGCGCGTTCCTCAACCCCCCCCCCCCCCAGCGCCGTCTGTGCGGTGGCCACTCACCCCCCACCCCAACCCCACCCTCTGCCGAACACCCAACCCAGGATCCGTGCGCGGGGTGTCGTCATTCATCATCAACACCCATCATCATCATCAACAAGTTTGCAATCATGATCATCACTGTGATCATTGCCGTCAGCCATCATCAGAATCGTCGTCATTGTCATCGTCAATCGCTGCACAGGGGTTTACAACCCGGGCAGCTGCGATCAGTAGCTACCACAATCTGACAGGGTTGATTTAGATGATCAATCCTCTATTCTTCCATGATTTTTCTTGTTGCAAACATCTACTCCCCCCCAGGCGCATGCGCGGGCAGCGTCGTCATCGAGTCGTCGTATTCCAGCCCTTGGACTTTTTAGATCACGCCTCAAACAAATGTAATGGCAAATGTTACTTTAATGAATGAAGTGAAAGCTCTTTTTCTTGGTTCTTTCGGTAAAGTCACGTAGAATGGAAATAATATAAAATAAATATAACATTATAAAATAATTCTCACGACGTTTCGGCCACAACGCAAGCAGCCGTCCTCAGGTGAAGAACAGGTCTGTCGGAAAGACAGAGTCTTAATTGGCATATCATTTTATGCAAATATCATCTTGATATGCAAATTCGTCTTCATATGCAAATTCCTTTGACAAGGCGCCCCTTCCCCCTCCAACCCAGCTTAAATATACCCTGCCAAGCCTGGTGGTGCCCATTCAGACGCTGTCTTTCCGACAGACCTGTTCTTCACCTGAGGACGGCTGCTTGCGTTGTGGCCGAAACGTCGTGACAATTATTTTATTATGTTTTATTTTTATTATTTTATTATTTCCCTTCTACGTGACTTTACCGAAAGAACCAAGAAGATGAATCCCTGCAGTCACGAAAGCTTTACATCGAAATGAAAGCTCTTTATTACGTTTCAATTTATAAAAGCGTTGCACCTGGTGTGTCACCGTTTAAAGTCTGCAAAAGACATCCCCATCCACAACATCCCTCTCGGTTTTCTCACCTAAACGGTAAAGGCGCAGCACTGCAATGACAAATTGTGTTCCTGCCATGGTCGTTATACGCTATTAAACCCAGCCGTATTAGTCAACTTACTTCAATTTAAACTGCACAGGATTCATTACCGGTATATTATGTACTCTTCATTTACTTGATGGGTTTTTTTCGCCTTTACAACAAGGTAAATATCAAGAAGAACACGATTTTCTTCCTAATCTTTGATTATTTCTCATAATCTAAAACATATATGGAATAGCTATTCTGTACGTGTGATGTTTGAGCGTCATTGATATAAGAATAGTGTCATGCTACTTACAGCGTATATAACAGTAGTGGCAATTCTTTAGATGTACCCAAGCGTCCAGGCTTTATAGTCACAGTGTTTAAAAGGAAGAGTCTCACTGCTACTGAATTCTTACTCGGCTTGAGTCACTGCTGTGAATCGAGGTTGTATATTTCAAGGCGCCTTGGTGTGGCCCTTTAACGGGAAGTGCTGTGTAAATTCCACTTATTGGAATAATCATCACGCGAACTCCGATCATCATCGCAGCGGCTTTTGGCGAGCGCTTTCAAATGTGCTTCTGCGGCCAAATGGAATGCTCTTCCTTCTGACACTAGGAAGCAACTGGAGCTATGCACTTTTAAATCTGTACTAGCATAAGTACCCGGCATTGCCCGGGTGAAAAATATATTTCTTAATAACCTTACATATATACACAGATGGGCTGCTACCCCTGCCCCCCCCCCCCCCCCCCCAGCCACGATCTTCTCGGCCGCTGTGCAGTAATATGTACGGCCTATAGTGTGGTGGGGTGTCGAGGCCTAGTACCGTGCAGAGCCTCCGGCCTCGCCTAAATTGCCCACCCGGCTGA